GAAGTGTTGACAAGTTTCCAAGTCCTGTGAAGTGTTATCTTTTAACAATTCTTGTCCCCATGACTTCTCCATCTGCCCCTTGTCACTGCAGGAATCCCACCTGATGTCACTGCTGTGTCTTGTTCTCACTAAGCCTGTGTCTACTAGCAGAGAGATTCTTCTAAAACATACATAAAGGTTCGCATCATTTCCCTTAAAATATTTGGTGAGTCCTTGTAACTCTTGAGATATGCTCAGGTCCTTGACTTAATAAGAAATGTCTTGAGTGTTTTGGCCCCACCTTTCCCTTGACCTTGGGTTTGTTCTTGGAGGGTACCTGGATGTGTCCTGTGATCTGTCTTTCTCTCCTGTCAAATACCTTATTCTTTGCTCCTCTGATATCTTCCTTTGTTACACTTTCTTAATTAACTCTACTTCAATCAAAGTTCATTGTAAGTATCCTCTGCTCTGGCCCCTTGGTGGCTTCAGGTGATCCATGTGTCTATTCTCTGAAGCCTGGTACACAGTATTTGGTAATATACAGGCCCATCTTATCCAGCCTTCCCGTTACATGGTCCTCAAGGGCAGGACCAAATCTCGCTTATTATTGTATTCTTGGTATCTAATACAATGATAAGAACAGTAGTCTGTTAAATGGGCGGATGAATTTAAAGATTCTATTACCTCTTGAATGTCAAGAGTATAGGATATTGTGTAAGTTAACTGCGCCTAAATTCCCATTGCTGACTATTTTTTGGAATTTAATTGGGGTCTAATTTTATAACGTTTTATGCAAAGTCTGATCTTGTATATACAGGACTAACCTAAACTATTTACAAAGAAGTGTTGACAAGTTTCCAAGTCCTGTGAAGTGTTATCTTTTAACAGTTCTTGTCCCCATGATTTCTCCATCTGCCCCTTGTCACCGCAGTATTCCTAGTAAACCTGGGTCAAATGACAAAGTAAAGCACAATTTGTCTTTCTATGGAGTCAGACATCACGTTTTAGTTGTTCTTTACAGTAGCTCACGTTTTGTAACATTCATCAGCTTCTGTGGCAAGTGAAACAAAGCACAAAGGTACTGACTGACTTGACCGAAGTCCTTGTATGAGTAGCAAGTGGCAGTGTTGGGACAGGAGCCCACTAAATCCTGAGACCTACACGTTTCCATCAATCCAGTGTCAGTTCTTACAAGGCATGGGGAGATCAATCTGCTTCTGCGCACATGCACACTCATACATACATACATACACACACACACACACGCATACATACACACACTCACACACACAAACACATGAGAGAGAGAGAGAGAGGCTGTCTGAAGTTTTCTAGGGTACTAGTTACAAAATGATTCAGGTGTGGTCCTCAAGCTTGTGAAGTGTCATCAGGGTAAACCCAAAAGAATCCCAAGAGTCGTTAGTGATGAAGCTTTCCCAGCTGAGGAGGCTGAAACAGAAACAGGGCAGAGAAGTGCAGTGCAAGGGGGATGGCCTATACCAGACCAGGAATGAAGAAGGGTTCTAGAAGCTGGAGGAGGTGAGAGCAAAGATATCTCTATCCAGAGTCCCCAGCAGGCTTGCCATCACCTACATCACCCACGACAGACTCTGGCCTGCAGAATTTTAAGATAAAAAATCATGCCATTCATCCCAAACGGTCTAGTGCATTATAGCAGCCGGCGGGAGGGGGCAGGCTGTGCCTTGTAGCAGTGTGGCCACGTCTCAGAGACCTACAAAGCCTGGGTGGAAAGAATTTTGATGATACACAGCCAGACGTAAAATCCATGTAGCTCCAGATGCCGTCTCTGGTGAGATTGCCAGGACATGACTATATTTCCTAATGCTTGATGTCAGTGTCAGAATCCGGCCTTCTGTGGCCCCCACATCTTCATCTTCAGAGTCACGTAGGGATAAGTGCCAAGTCAGGAGGCTGGAATTGAGTCTCTGCTCACCTCTGACTTGCCCTGCTGATGCAAGTCTCAACTTCCCTACGACTTCATTTCTTCAACTCTAAACCTCGGAGGCTGGCCGGGGCAACACAGAGTCTCCGATTCGCTGGTTGTTTTCTCCTAAAACATCTGGCCTGTTGGATGGTGGGTCTGCACGCGTATCATCTAGTCATGCTTAGCTCAAACCCTGAACTGAAACATTCTTAGCTGAGATGGCCTTCGGTAGGCAGGTCCATCTCCTCAGGGTTTGTTGCGGCCATAAGTACAGACTCTGGAGTTGTCTCCCGGGGGCTAGCATTTACTAAGGTTGGGCTCTTGGACAAATAACAACCTACTCATGCCTTAGTTTTCTCACCCATGAAACAAAACGCGGGTGCTATGAGTTTCCATAGGGGTATGAAAATAGCTGTAGGGGTATGAAAATGTCAAGCGTTCTGACATATGAGCAAAGGTATGAAGAATGCTTAACCATACACGTGGCAACAGAATTTAAAGCACATTTTTTTTAAAAAGTACCATCGCAGAGCTAGGAAAATAGCTTAGCGTTACCTTTCATGAAGAAAGGGCGAATTGTTTTCCAGAGCTCCGGATTGTTGTTGAATATGATGCCGTTCTCGTGCATGCCGATGCACTGCAGTCCGAGCTTGCTGCCGAACCTGGAGATGTAGTTGCTGTGCTTCATCACGTGGAACATACTTGAGGATCTGTACGAGAGCAAACCACAGTGTCACCCCGACAGGGCGGAGGGGATTTGCGGCCCTTCACTCCGGCCGTGTGGGGGCTTTCACAGAAGGATACTGGTCCAAATGCAAAGCGTGATTTGCTAGTGATCGGGGGAAGAAAAATGCCAGGTCGGGTGAGAACGTTCTTGTTCAAGTAAATCGTTTCTACTTTCTGAGTCCTTAAGTCTCGCTCTGGGGAGAGGGGGGGGCCCCGAGTGAGCGAAGTCCTGAGGGGAGGCCTGCTGTCGATGGGGGTGCGGCCACGTCGGTGATCAGAAGGGAATGAGCCGCGGAGCCTTCCCTTCCGGTCCCAGTGTGGATGCTGACAATGCGTTCAGAGAACATCCACCGTCCGTTTCTCCCCCAGATATTTAGGGACTGAACGGCTCCCCAAAGGCGACTGCTCTACTGAGATTAGCCGAACCCGTCTCCCTGACCCAGCTGTACGCAGGAAGCCCCGCATCCTTGTTTCTCCCCATTTCCTTGCTCAGCTGTGTGTAACCACCTGCTTCGCAGACCAACGCTAGGTAATAAACATGCTGAGTTTGAGGGATGAGAGGCCCAGTGGTTTATCCCACTGGAATTAATTTTAAAAATGAGATTTAAAAAAAAAAAAAAAACTTCATTTCAGGAAAAAAATTAAAATAAAAACCATCGAATCAAATAGTCTCTCAGTTTAATTCTCAACAATATCCCTAGGGTGACTCACGCTTTCGACAAGTCTTTCTTTCGATAGACAAAAACAAACAAAAAATAATCAGATGTTTCAAACTGAATTTCAATAAATTAATCCAACACTCCAGATTTTACTTAGGTGGAATTATCACTTTATAAAACAAGCTGAAGTTGCTAATAATTAAAATAAGATCTACATCTTTTCTTCACTTACTCTGCAATTAAAGGTGAAAGTATTTGTTTACATTCTTTGTTCACGACTTTGTATCTAAGGATTTTCAGTACTTGAGGGAAGAGCAGGGCATTGCTCTTTCTGCTCTGGTTCCCTGGGATTCCGCACATTAGCAAGCGGTTAAAATCCATGTGTCCCTTAGGGGGTGCTGTCGTCCCAGTTATTTTCAGCCCGAAGCTCGGCCAAGAAGAGACGTCAACGAAATATGACCAGCCACAGAAAAGCGGTTTAAACCAAGGTCATTTATCAAAGTGAGGCAGAGTTTAGCTAAGCAGAGTAAACGGAACAGTAAAGGAGAGCAGTGCTGAAGGACAGGCCCAAAGACCTGACCCCCTGACCCCCACGGGAGCCCCGCCAGCAATCAGGGCCGAGGGAAATGCTTTCTTTGAGAGAGTGAGGACTTCCCATCAGAGTCCCCAAGTTCACAAGAGAGAGTGGATGGTGTAACGCCACTGGGGTCAGAGAGCAAACGTTTGACATGATTGAAGTTAGGAGATCACCCCTGCCAGGGAGACAGAGACAGAGATCTCAGTTAAGTTTGTGTGGGTCCTCCATGTGGCATTGCTACTCAGTCTCTCCATCCTTTCTCTTTCTCTCAGTCTCCATTATAAGTCCTGCTTCCAAACGAAGACTTTAGAGAGCTTCCTCAGGAAAGAGGGGCAGTTATACAACCACCCCCGGGGACCTGCACTACAGGTCCAGCCTTCCTATTGCTATGAGTAAAACGTTGTGCCCTTATTCAAAGCCGTTCCCCACCTGTCCCCGAGACACCTTCACGAACTTCACTCAGCACAGCCCTCTTTTCTCCTTCATGTCCCTCCGTACCTCACCATTCCCACCACAGCTCTCAGGCAGGTGCCTGGTTCTCTCTAATCAGACTTTTACCTCATCTCCTTCCAGTCCCTCTGCCATCTTTGCTGTTTCTTGAACAGTTTAGGCAGGCTTCTGCCTCCAGGCCTCTGCACCTCCTCTTCCTTTTTGAAGGTGTGCTTTTCTCCAGATTTCTGCCTGGATCACATCCTCACCTCAAGTCTTGTAGTCAGTGAACCTGTCCCAAACTACCCTCTCACGGGTCATACTAGTCCCTACTAGTCCCCCTCTAACCTTTTTCCTCAACTTTCCCCCCAGATAGTGTATTGCTGCTTGATCTCCTCAGGACTGCCTCAACTGTAGCACTAAAACTCCCCTAGCTTAGGAAATCCATCTGCTGCAAGACATTTGACCCATCGTGAACCCCAAAACTGTGAACTGTAAAACCCAATGTCTTCTTTGGTGTGGTTGAGCCCTATCACACACCTTTAATTCACTAACTTCTTACTGTAAACTAGTGGTTATGGTGTGGTTCACCTAGCGCTAACACACACCTTTAATCCAAGAGCTTTCTATACACAGGATTTAAGAAAGTTAACCCTAGGTCGAGAGTTGGAGCAAGAAACCAGCTGACAGGAATTAAAGAGTAGAAGGGACTTTGAGTTGAGGAGTATTTAAGATGGCCTCGAGAAGAAGAAAGGGCTATTAGCTTAAGCTCTCCATTTCGCTTAGCTAAGCCAGCTCCTTAGCTCCCTGGCTTTTGGGACTTTGAACTAGCAAGCCTTTGGCCTTGGGTTTTTGGCCTTTTCTTCCTGGGCCGTCAGTTGAGCTAGTGAGCCTTTTGGGGTTTTTTCTACCTGGACCTGAGCTGAGGAAGGTCAGCTGGGCACTTCCTCTGCCTCTCTGAGCTAGCAGCTTTCACCCCAGATGCAGCTAGCATCTGGTTCCTAAGTAAAATAGAACAGTTAGGATATTCATATTTTTAAGAACAACAACCATCTTATACATTCTGTATGTTCATACCGTGACAAACTGGCCTCAGAATGCGTGTCTCAGAATGCATCCATGTTAAGGAATGTATGGCTGGACTGTACATGTCACTTGTAGCCACAGTGTAGAACAGGGTATTGTTCTATGAGGGTGGGAACTTGGAGCTGTTTTCAGTCCCCAATATAATACTGCCGTGTTCCTAGGGTAGAACCTTCTCTTTTATCAAAGGAATAGAGAGCCGATTGTTACTGTTACTACGTCTTCATATATGTCGAATGAATTCCTTGTAAATTTACACGTAATTAAGACAGGTATGCAAGTGACACTTTCATCAGCATGTTAATTATTAATTATCCTTTATGACTATCCCTCAAACTATTTTATATTTGTATGTGACAAAAAAAAAGAAAGTGCACACACATCCTAACATGTGATATAGGGTCTGCAGGCCCTGGGGTGGACCAGCTGCCCAAGGGCACTGTGCGTGCCTTGTTGCAGATTCCGTGAGCATGCACATCTCACAGCCTTTCCTCGCAGTCTGCGAGATGTCCGGGCAGCCTGCAGGCAGGCAGCCCTCCCCGCTGGCTCCCCTGGAAATCCTGCAGCCTCTGCTCCTTTGGGACGGGGCTGGTTGGAAAAGCTGGACTGCGGTCACTACACAGTTGTACTGACTCTAAACCTCAAACTTCTCCAAAGATTCCAATCAAAACAACAATCTTCCCGAGGTCCAGTGGGGTTGTTTCAAGAGGTACGGGTAGTTCTGCCGAGGACTTGAAGAGCAGGCAGAGGAGGCAGAGAGGGACAAACTCGTCCTATTCCGGAGGGGAGCTCAGCCTTTAACAACAAAATGGAGCGCTTGGAGGCAATTAAGGAGAACACAAAGACTCAGCAAGTGAAAGGCCTGAGGGAACACAGAAGTGAGCTGGGGGAGCAGGGGGAAGGCGGGCAGGGTGTATCCCTGCCTGCTCTGTATTTACCAGGGGTTGCTTTCCTAGTGAGGAAGGCTAGTATGGTCCTGGTGGGACGAGGACCCCCCACTTTAGGAACTGCGTGTGGGCATCCCTGGATTTGTCTGGTGACCAAAGTTCCTAAATGCCCCCTCACTGGGAGCAACTTTGCTAGTACTGTTCTCAAATCCATCCTTTTTCATTTCAAGTATAGTCTTAAACCAACAACACCTTGGCACAATGCAGTAAGAGAAATACTACTCCAGCGCGCTTAGTTGTTTCCCTAGTCCCAGAAATGGCACTCTTGCCCCAAAAACAACTTCTTCCCTCCTTCCAGGTAGGGGTTTCCCAAGCTCCACAGGTCTCTGGAACCACCTGGAGAGTTTAAATAATGATAGCATCTGTCCACGAGCAGGCGAGCAGGCGAGCAGGCGTGGTCTCAGAGCCAGAGCTGCAGCAACCAGAATCCACGCACTCCCTGGCTGGTTCTACTGCATCGCCCGAAAGCGAGCTGCTCAGGCACATGAGCTTTTTAATAAGTATCCGGAGACTCACCTCACCTGTTTGCCCAGGGAAGCTGGGGAAAGGAAGCCATGCCGAGCAGAGTAGGGCCAGAAGACTGCTCTCTGTGCTGGGGGTGAAGGAGCAGAAGGGACCATCCCAGTCCCCAAACCTAAATGGCATCTGCTACAAAACATTTTTAAGACAATAACCAAATTCTAAAAAGTGACTAAAACACTGAAGAAATAGAGAAAACACCTCAAATTTGCTTGAATTAGACTGACCAGAGCTCAATCCATCTTAACATATCAAATCAAAACATAATTGTGGTCTAGTCATTAAAGTATCTAAACCACCTGAAAACGTGTCAGAGCAGACCATGGCATTCTAGTTCAGTTGTTTATTTACTAAGTCCCAGTGGGGTGAAAGCATGTTTCTAACAAGTTCTGAGCTTTGTGGCTGTTGATGGTGAAGGAAGCCTGCTGGAAAGCCTCGGCACTACTCCATGAGGAGACACAAATACACAATACACACACACACACACACACACACACACACACATATGCAGGCAGCTGCTGCTCACGGCTGTATAGATGTAGTCTGCTGTAGCCATTCTTCAAAGTGCTATAACATCAAACTGAATGAAACAAGCAAACCTCAGGCAAAACCCAAGGAACGAAATAGATTCGGAGCAACATGACCGAGTAGATTGAAATATTTGGAATTACAGGATGTTTTTCTCCTCTGCGCCCTTCTTTCAGTATTCACTTCAAAGAACTGGGCTTCAAGGACACTGTTATATCTGATAAAGTGGCATATATAATCAAGCAAATCAGTAAAACATCGTGGCAGATTTAGCTCGTGGGAAAAGCTCTGTGGGAGGTTTTAAATATTAAAATATTTATGATGTGCTGGTTGTAGATAACTTTGCTAAAAGTCAAGTTAAGATAGCTAAGTGTAGCGGAATATGCTTTCTCTTAATTTCTACATCTTCTCAGATCAGCAGACAAGAGGAGTAGGAAACAAGAAACAGTTTGTTCTTAACAGTCAAAGAGTAGTTACTCGATTCCAGGGTGAATGCAATCCCACAAAGTCTAACCATCCAGGAACTTCCATTTTTAATGGGCACGACTAATCCCGGTTGGTTTCAGATGGCTCAGCCAGGACGCTGGCACACAGCCATTGGTGGGGGACAGCGGCTGCTGGCTTCTACCTTTGCTATCTGATATCTTGTGGGTGTTCAGTCTCCCACAGGCTGAACACACTGAAAGCTATTGGTCAGATATCAGTCTCTGCTTTCTTGTTGTTTAAGGATTTGGGGAGGCTGGTTTTTATTTTGTTTTGTTGTGGGTTTTCATTTTTACTTATACACTTGCTTGTAGAAATAACACCAAAATCTCGGGAAAGCAGGACACATATTATCTCTTCCCTAAAGTGTGTTTGGCAAAAACCAAGCCATCTGGTCCCTAAATTTTCACATTTGTGACTCAAAGAAGTTTTGAATGATTTCCCAACTTTTGGTCCTTCTCTATCTACATGTCTCTGGCTTCAACTCAAGAAGAATTTAATTATTTAGCTTGTCCACAGTATTGGGCTGCTACACGGCCATTTGTCTCCTTCATTTCACAGGGGGAAAAAAATGCAGCTTTACCAAAATATTAAACTATCAAAATGAAGTGGATTTTCTATAGAAAAAACAAACACTATTGTTTAAAATAGGAAATGCTTCAGCCTTGATTTTAAAGCTGCAGTAGAGGTCGTAAGAGCACAAGCGGTGTTTGCAGACTGAGACTTGAACCCAGTCCTGGCATACGATGGGCGCACATTCTTGCTGAGCTACGCCCTCAGCCATTCTAGCCTGGTTTGTTCACAGACTCACTTGCTGATAATGAGCGTCTCCTCTCCACTGATCCAGACTCTCGTGAACTCTCCGTACATCTTGTTGTAGTAGTTGCAGGCACTTCCAATCCCCATCCACAAGAATCTGCCATGGGAAATGAGGGGCCCAATTCCCAGACAGTAGCCAGGGCCTACAACAAACCAGGAGAAGACAGCGAACTTGTTAATAATGCCCCCAAATGGTTGTTCTTTCATATATATATATATAACATCTTCTGGGATCTATGTGTGAGTCACTCGGTGTGATTTAAAACCAAGCATAGGATCCTTACCTCTTCATGGATGAAAAGCACATGGCTTCACTAGCTTCTCTTGATCCATCATTTCAGTCCCACTAAACTCGAGGCTTATACTAATTTCTAAGAGTCTCAAATGAAAACTGGTTCATCTGTCTGGTAAGAAGCATAGAAGCTGTGATAGGTGACAAGATGACAGAACTGTATGGCTGAAAACAGAGCTACAGATGATTGTGAGATACCAAGTTGTTGCTGAGAATTTAACCTGGCTCCTCCAAGGTACAGAACTCTCCAGCCCCATGCTGAACATGGGAGCAGACTTAGTTATGTGATTCTGTTGTTTTTCCAGACAGGGTTTCTCTGTGTAGCCTTGGCTGTCCTGGACTCTGTTTGTAGACCAGGCTGGCCTCGAACTCACAGCAACTAGCCTGTCTCTGTCTCCCTGAGTGCTGGGATTAAAGGCATGCACCACCACACCTGGCTGCCTATATGCTTTCCTATGCATCAACCCCCTTTTGCCCAGGAAATGCCACACCTGGCTCTGCCCACTGCTCTCATCTGGAAGTTCTTGGCTGCAAGCAGCCCAGCTGACAGAATGAATTGTTTAGAGCTGAGGATGGCTTTCTTTCATCTGAAAAGGTCTGCAAGGATAATGTCCAATCTCAAAACATTCACTGCTTTAAAAAGTCTCAGCTTATGAAAAGGAGTTGTAAGCAAAAATCTCCTGAGGTAGTACAAACCTAAACAAACCTAAGAACTCATTACTACAAGGTAGACCTCACTATCTACACTAGAACGCATGCACCAGAATCTGGCTTCAGCCTACAGCCTTGCCTACATAGACAACGGTAGGATCATGCCCAGGGGACACAGTATGTGGTTTATGTCACAAAAAGAACTTGTAGCCTGAAATTGTTCTGTTAAATGTTTAGGTTAACAGACAAAGTAATGAGTTTCACTATAGCATTTTCATACATTATGTGTCATTATGCTTTGTGTTTGTTTGTTTGTTTGTTTGTTTGAGACAGGGTTAACCTACTTCGATCAGGTGGTCCTTGAACACCAAGATTCTCAGGCCTCAGCTTCTCAAGTGTTGGGATTCCAATCAAATCTGGTAGACTTTATTTTACTAGTGGTTGGTAAAAAGTTAGGTAAAAAGAATCTCAATACTTTAAAAATTGTCAGGTAAAATATTTTTTTTATTCTTTTAAATTCCATGTTGTCAGTGAAATTGTTATAAAGCCAAAAAAATGTCTAGTTGAATGAGACAAGAAGAGCTGTGTAATACTCTTGAAGGGGTAAGGGGTAAGCTTTCATCTGGTTGAATCATCTGGCCTGGATGTTCACTCCCAAATTACTCACTTTGGAGTATCCAAGCTCTTACACAATTATCAGACCTCCTCCCCCATTTGAAGAAAAGATCTGTGAATCAAAACATCAATAAAATCAAAATATAGTCAAAGGTGTGCAATCTTCTAACCCTAGTGGCACTACATTAGATCATAGATGGATGACATTATATTAAAACAATTCCCTTATGTTCGTTCGAAGATTTAGACAAGCAGATTTGATTAAATATCTATTTCTTCAAACTATCCAATATATCAACTTTTAATCTATTGCATATGTGTTGTACATAAAAGCAGTTATAACTTAGTACATCACACATGCTCTGTAAATGCGTTCAAATAAACTGGATACGTGTTTGTAATAGGAAGGGTGCACTTTTGAAGGTCATTCTTGACACACATATGTACACACAGAATACACATAGATGCATGCACACACAAATTTTCAAGTGGAATAAAAACAATTATTGCTCTTCCTTAGGGTTTTAATGTTTTATTTCTATTTAGATCAAAAGTGGAAGAATATCACAAAACATACATTTGGTCCACATGAGGCCAAGTACTGACTTGACCAGGAAAAGGTTTGTCTACAAATATTTGTTTACTTAATAGTCAAGCCCCAGGAAACACAAAGACAATACTCTAAATGGCTTACATTTGGGAGGCACTATTCCCCTACTGGTATAGTACTCCCCTATCATAAAACACAAAAATTATCAAAATGAAAACATTTTGAGATGGGTCTTACTATGTAGCACCTGGCTGGCCCACAACTTGCTACGTAGACCACAGTGGCCTCAGACTCACAGAGATCTGCCTGCCCCTGCCTCCCAAATGTTGAGATTAAAGGTGTGTGTCACCATACCTGGCCAAAATGAAAACATTTGTTTAAAAATATATGGCAATGAAGATTTGTATCTACTGAAAATGCTCTCTAGAGAGTACGTGGGTTAAGAATCTGAGTATTTAGCCAGGCAGCAGTGCTGCAGCTGCGGGGCTTTAATCCCAGCACCTGGAAGGCAGAAGCAGGTGGCTCTCTGAGCTCAAGGCCAGCCTGGTCTACAGAGTGGGTTCTAGGCCAGTCAGGGCTTCACAGAGAAATCCTGTCTTAGGAAGGAAGGAAGGAAGGAAGGAAGGAAGGAAGGAAGGAAGGAAGGAAGGAAGGAAGGAAGGAAGGAAGGAGAGAGAAAGAAAGAAAGAAAGAAAGAAAGAAAGAAGGGAGGGAGGGAGGGAGGGAGGAAGGAGAGAAAAAGAAAGAAAGAAAGAAAGAAAGAAAGAAAGAAAGAAAGAAAGAAAGAAAGAAAGAAAGAAAGAAAGAAAGAAAAAGAAAGAAGGAAGGAAGGAAAGATAGGAAGAAAGAAAATCTGAGTGTTCTGCTAGGAAAAAAAGCAGAGTTTGGGATACTTAATGACCAACTCTATGTCACTTTAACTCATCCAATAAATACTGAGGGTATACTTTAGATATTACTCCAAGTCAGGGTCACATCAGGAGAAGTTGTGAAAAATATAAAAGCAGATAATTATAACACCCATTATACATATATATATGTATATGTTCCTTACATTTATATGTAAATCTTGCACTACACCCCAGATGGGTAAGTATGAGGGAAGTATTCTGCCTAAGCTTCCACATTAGGCAGCTCACAGCTTGTCCAATTGGAACTGCTTCTCTAGGCATAGGATGATCTTGAAAGACTCCCTCAGCCCACTCCCAGGAGCAGTAAATACTTCACCATCCAATAGCTAGAACCCAGCTCTCCTAGTCAGGAAACCGGCTTTCATAGCTATGGATACCCCCTCAAGAGACCCATGCACATACTTTTTACAGCAATACTGTCCATAGTACCCCAACTGGAGGCATTGTCTGATCAACAAACCATGAGATATTTGTAAAACTCAAGGCTGTATCGCAGTGAAAAGCGAGCTCAAGGATAGCACCATCATGGATGGGTCTTACTGACGTAACAGTAATCAAAAGGAGCAAGATAGACAAATAGTATACAATTTATTGCTAAAATATTTAAGACAAGACAAGGAAAAAAAAGCTGTATTGTCTGAGGATGTGAAATTGGGTCCCAAACTTTAACAAAACAAGGCAGTAATTGTTACAAAATCCGGGAAAACATTTACCTCTGAGAGAGACAAAAGGAAAAAAAAAAAAGGAGAGGGAGAATGTAGCAATGTAGAATGTAGCAATGGGGGAGGGGAAAAAGAGGGAGAGGGAGGCTTCTGGGATGCTGTTCATTTCCTACTTCTTGTGCAGGGCTCTGGGTAGCAAGTCTGCCATCACCTTGCACATTTTTCTGTGAAATATTTTCTTAACAGAAAAAGAGAGACATGTTGTCATGTCTGCTTTCCCGCGTCTCACTCTGCATATGTGAGGCCCGAGGAAGAATATGTTCTCTGGAGGCAGAAGACCAATGTCAGGGTTGGAGGGGTGATGTGTTCTTGAGGAAGGGAGGATTGCCAGGTAGCAGGCAACAAGTGAACAGAAATGAGAGGACTTGAGATGTTAGGAGAATTGAAGTGATGCCACTTCCCAGCAGATTCTAATTAATTCCAGCTCTGCTCTGCAGGTGGAAGCATCTGTAGCCCTCTCTCTTCTGTCCTCTCCCTTCTGCTCTGCCTCACCCACACCTTCGTTGTTCCTCGTATTTATTCTTTCTCTTAACCAGTCTTTAATATCCAACCCTCCAAGCCTCCTTCCCATCCATATCAGCCTGTCTCTGCCCCTTTCCAGGTCAGATCCCACGCCTTTCTTCCTAGCACATCCCTTGCTGCTGAGCATGGCATCTGGCTGGACTTCTTAGCAAGCATAAATGATGAAGTTCAGACCCATCCCCAAGTCCAGTTTCTTCTAAACAACAACAACAACAAAAACCATCACTGCACAAAATGAGCAGGAAGCTGCCTTCATTGAAACGTACAAAGTATGGGCTTTTAGTCATAACACCTTTTAAATTCCCTTAGGTTTTTGAGAAACCAGAGCACCCTCGAATTTGTGAATCCAAGAACTTGGAGAGCTGTGATTCGAGAGCAGTGACAGAAGGAGTTGGGAGGAGGACAGACCACTTTTCTTCTTTCCCATGCCTGGGAATCCTGGGCTGTGCCCTGTAGGGAACTGACCAGAGCTTGTGTTTTCAGAGCATGAATGTAGGGCAGGAAGTCACAGCCTGAGGCTACAGACTCCTGGTCACCTGCCAGGGCTCCTATTTTCCTCCTAGCTGGCCTTCAGCTGGCCTTTTCCCCACCTGCAGGAGTTAACCCTTTGTTCTATCCCCCCTGCAGGAGTTAACCCTTTGTTCTGTTTGGACTCTCTGGCTTCTCTAATTTGCTGTACCATGTTACTGGCAGCACAGATCATCTCTCTGGCAGCGGCAGGGGTGAGGACTGTCCTCTTCTATCACGTGAAGGAGCTGAGCTTCTCTCTGTGGCTCTCAAACTCAACTGCTCATGAAATGTCACCAAGGAAAGGCTCTACCTCAAGCAGGGCTGAGGAGCGCTGTACTGACTAGGTGACTGACACCGGTGACAGACAGTACTGAGTCCCTGGCCCAGAAGCGGTAGGCACAAAGTACCGCCTCGTTTCCCGATTCAGGCCTGAGGACCGTCTGTTCTCACCCTGCTTCTCTTACAAGTGCGCGCTTCAGCCAGGTGTGGTGGTCCGTGACTCGAACCCCAGCACTCAGGAGGGAGAGGCAGGGGGATCTCTGTGGGCTCAACACCAACCAGGTCTACATTACATACTGAGTTCTACACCAGGCAGGCGGCCTGGACTGCAAAGCGAGACCCTGCCTCAAAACCAAACAAATAAGGCTGCAAATCCGATAGGGAAGGGCTCGGGGTCAGCTGGCAAACTTCCACCTTCACGAATGCTCTTATCTGAGAACAAAATTTGAGAATGTGTGGCTCCCGTGATGGATGGCCAGTGCTGACCTCTCTGTTTGCAAGATGCTCTGATAGTACAGGTAGGTTGGACTTTAGCACCTGAGCGTATGACAAGGAAAAAGAAGAGAACGTGTTCTATTGCACCCACCCTCCTTCTCCCTCAACGGCTCCTGTACCTGCTGCCCAGGGAGTTCACCATAGGAAAGGAAATCTGTGGAAGGAGCATTCAAGCCAACGGCACAGAGTAGTTTCCCTCAGCTCCCAGGCTTTCTCCTCCAGAGAAGACCCCACCAGGTAGAAGCGAACAAATTAGAAATTAAAGTAACCTACAGTGCCAGGCTGGATCAGGGAGATGGGCAATCATCTGGAAGGTTTCAGAAAGAACCCGGGCACTGCATTAAGTCCGTGCTCTCCCCAGCCCGTTCAACTGCCCTGTGCAAATGTCAGCACACTCAGGCATGTGGTTAGTATGGTGTTGACACAAGCCTTGTTGTGTATCATGGATTTAGGAACTGGTGGTAAAGACGTTACCCGAAATTTCTGTTACTTCTGAACTAACCTGGTAATTGATCATTTAGGCATCAGTGGCGAAATTTTTCACTGAGATTGTCAATCGTACTAGCCTCCACTTCTGGTTGTTCTTGTACTTTTGATTGTTTTGGTTGATGGTTCTGTCAGACTGTGATGCTTCCAGAGAATGATTCTAGTCTCTGTTCTCCTCCCCCTACCCAGCTCCCATTCAAGCTGTACGGTGACACCACTGTCACCATGCTGCCAGCGAGAGAAAGTGAAGAATAAGACGATTACGAGAAAGAATGAACCCAGGAAAGTGTGAAGGCGTGGGGAGGCAAAGCAGAAGGGAGGGGACAGAAGAGGGGGCAGCTCAGAGACACTTTCAACTGCAGAGCAGAACCGGAAATAACTAAACAAAAAAAAAAATTCTAGAATTTTACCTTGCCCTATTCCACCTCAAGCTTGCCGTTATGGTACTGACTTGTGCCAAACCAAACCTTCCAAAGCAGCGTGCAGCCTGGAGAAAGTGTCTAACACACATCTGCGTCAGGTCGTCTGCCCTGTGTACGCTGTCACTGTGACATTTCTTATCTTAGTCCTCCCTTGCCAGCTCAGCTGTGGTCTTCAGAAAGAAACCTTCCCAGGTTTGCTTTTTATATATATATTGCTGCCACGGACCAAAGAGCCAGTGAAACACCTTCTACAGGCATAGAACTAAAAACATGCCTCACCTGGTATTGAAGACGTGCTCTCACAATTCCAAATCAAGAAGAGGAGGCCCATGATCAGCAGGAGCGGCATGGCGCTGACAGGCATCGCTTCCGGGACCGTGATGGTGACGTTATAGTGCACCGGGTTCAGCATCTCCAGAAACATCTTGCTCTGTCTGGCCTCAGAGGGAAAAACTCCCAGTTCTGTAGGAACAGAGCAGCGGCGGCGTCAGAACACGAGCCGGCGGGCTCAGCTGTGGCTCCTGTCACTTCTGAGGGTGCTGGAACGGGGAGGTGGGCACTTTGTTTTATAGTGATTGCACGCTTAGACAAGACAAACTTGTGGTTACAAGTCAAAACAAGGATGGCCTTGGTGGACTCAGGTTCTGTTCAGCAGTTGGTCTGATAGAACCTTATCGTCTTGCCCTTGAGTGGGTAGAGTGACGTGCATGCTCAGTTGGAGAGTCGGCCCTCCGAAGCTCATCCCCGAGGAACAATCGCTGTGTGACTTCATCAGCGGCTTTCGCTTGGGCCATCCTCTTTATTTAAAGCAAACTCAACTGACCAAACAAATCAAGAGCAGGTAAAGGCTCCCACCACCCAAGTTAAGCCTCCAGGACTCATATGCTCATATGTGTGTATACATGCACATATGTGTGTGTACACACAAGCACGTACACACGCACACACGCACACACATACTACATAGATGGAAATATATAACTCTAAAAACAAAGAGATAAAAATGAATCAACATAAGGAATGTCCCAATGTCTTCCCTTGATCAAAATGACTTTCCCAGATGGTTTCTACAGAAAGAATGCATTTCTTGGACACCGTAGTGCTCTAGGAGTCTTCATTAGTCTGTCTATGAAATTCAAGGTATGTTACACACGACAGTCTTTCTCTGGTGGCTTTAATGAGGATCTGGAACTAGAACCATAGGCCGGTTAAACTGTTCATGGAGGCCAGCATGAGAGGCAGTGGGGATGAAGCGGGGGCAGGAGAGGTAGGACAAAGAAAGCAGAAAGGAAAAGAATGAGATGGTGGAGAAAGAGAACAGGAGGAGCAACGTGCCCCAGCAGCAGACTCAGGAGCTGCTCAGCCATCTGGTCCCAGCCACGGCTTGTGCCCTGTGCAGGGTAACTCCTTCTCAGGCTGAGCTGCTGGGCCTGCTGGCTGCAAGGGCAGTGTGCTGCTGTGTCTTCCAGTCAGGTTTCATCAACTCTGTTTACAGGGGTGAGCTTAAGGAATGATGGTAGTTCAAATACCAAGTTGAAGAAACTTGTATCATTATCAAAAGCATGTCCAACGGCAGATGACACACACACTCCAAGTTCTGCCCTAATTAGATGGTGCCAGAAGTTAAGGAGTCTTGCCAAGACTGGCTGTGTTTTACCTCATACTGAAACTCTGTGTTCACAAAAGTGACTTCAAATTGGATGGATCTCCTGATGTGCTGCAGAAATTTTTATATGTACTCTCACATTTTTAAAAAATGATCTTATTTTTAGGTATGTGTGTATGTGTTGCATGTGTGTATGCAAACATGTATGCAGGTGCTTGAGAAGGCCAGAAGAGGGAGCTAGAGTCATAGCATTTGTGAGTTGCCTGCCCCGGGGCTGGGAACTAAAAGCATGCATTCTGTAAGCAGCCAGCACTCTTAGCCACTGAGTGGTCTGTCCTGCCTTCACATGTGCTTTTGAAAGGAGAAAGTGCCATAACTTTCACCAGACTCCTAGACACCGTGTATTTTTCTCCCGATCTCTAAGAAACCTTTGATTTCTAGCAACCATAGAAATTTCACAATTGAATTTATTCAGTTTGTTCATCATTGTTAAGTCATTATATTACTCTACCATTTAAATAATAATTAAGCTCAAGACACTGAAAAATGTCTGTGCATATGATGAGCAGCTTAATTGTTACAGTTTTCCAATTGATCTAAGTGAAGGATGAAGAATGAGCAGCTGTTTTTAGCTGCTCCCTTTGCTAATGAGTAGAAACTTTGGACAGGTTGAGGGCTTTTATTTTTCAGAGAAAAAGATGCTCAGTTAGAAGGAGGGGGCAGGCCAGTGAGATAGCTCAGGGGGTAAAGGCATTTGCAGCCAAGGCTGACCACCTGAATTTGAGCCCTGCAACCTACATGGTGGAGGGAGAGTCAACTCTCACATAGTCCTCCGACCTCCACAATGGCACACACACACACACACACACACTGAAAATTAACACATTAAATGATGAAAGAGAAAAAAAGACAGCAATGTTCAAATACTTTTGATAACTTCGTTTTTTGTTTTTTGTTTTTTTTTAAAGAGAGGTTAGTGTTACATAACCCAGGCTGGTTTGAAACTTGCAGCCACCTACCAATGTTCATGTCATGAGAATGTGCCACCACACCCAGTTTAGAACCTTGCTTGGACCAGGCAATGCTGGTGCATGCCTTTAATCCCAGCACTCAGGAGGAAGATCTCTATGAGTTCAAGGCCAACCTGATCCATAGATCGAGTGAGTTCCAGGACAGCCAGGCAAACACAAAGAATCTCTGTCTCAACAAACAGTAAACAAACAAACAAAAAACGGGAAAAAGAACCCTGCTTGGAAAAGAAAAGAGAGGCAGCAATAGAAATCACTTTAAGATATGAACTGTTTTAAATTATTGTATATGAGAATCTTTATTATTTGTTTCTCTATAGAAGTATAAGTTGTGATAAGAGTGGTGTTCTGACAGGAAAATTTTAAGGTCATGGAACGATAAGAGATATCCTCCAGAGTTTCAGGATGGCCTTGTGCAATTTCTGATGGCATGGCCATGTTCACAGTGGTGACCTGCCACCCAAAGTGGAGCATGAGTGTGTCTCTACCCAAACATGGCTAACAATCCTGGCTTCTCAAAAGTACGTCAGACCTCCCCGCCACACACACACACTCGAAATCACCACATAAAGAGAAACAGAGTAAATCACTGGCTGTGGATCAGACAGCACTGAGTGCTTTGGAGATAGTAACCCACTTGTTCTTACATCGACCCCAGGAGCTCTGTACGGTTGTCCCCATTTTACACGACAGGAGAAAGAGCCATGAGAAAGCTGGGTAACCTGTCCCAGGGTACCCAGCATTTGTAAGGCAGAGCCGGAACTGGCCCCCACCTGGCCTTTTCCAAAGCCCGTGTACCATGTTGTCGCTGTTAAGGGGTCCCTGGGTCTGCACATTTGGAAGTTTTTCCATCCTTTAGGGGGTGGGTTATCTAGAGCAAGCCCTTTCTAGGATTAAGCTTTTCTGACCTCTGGATACAACGTTCTGAGGTCTTTGTGTCTGGTAGCTCCTCCTCGAATGAGCTACGCAAGTAAGGTGAACAGCAGCTTTTGAGTACAGGAATGCAGAAAAGCCCTAAAACTCCAAGTCCCCTGCCAGTTAATGCCATGCCCTTACCTCAAAGCGCACATGTATAGTTCCTAAGAGTTGCAATGTTTCTTCCTGGAGGCAAGCAGGAGGCTCAAGATTCAGTGTGTTCAGAATGGTGCATGATTCATATCTCCCTCTCTAGTTTTGTAGTGGAAAGCAATCAAAGCAATCAGTGGTGAGAGGAGGTTCTCCTCAGTGGAGCTGCCCACAAACGGACCAGAGATCTCCAGGTGCGTCATGTCTGTGCGTCATCGCCCACGCTGGGGGCTGGGGGCTGGGGGCTGCAGGCTGGGGGAGGCTTTTGGTGAGTCACCGATGACCCTGCGGCAGCAGTAAACTCAGTGCCTCGCTCGGGAGCCATCTCTTTAGTCTGTTGTCAATGGCCGCGTTGTCAATCATGGGGAAATCCATGTTCGTTCACACCTTCAAGAGCAGTATACTCAGTCCTTGCTAGCCCTCCGAGGGTCCTAGCCTCAGGTCCTTCCGTTGCTGTCTTCATAGTCTCCACCAATTACACCAGCTCATGCTTGGGCCTTCCTGGTACAGGGCTCAAGACATTTGATCTCACCAGGCCTACCTCTGTTCTGTATATAGCTGCCAACGCCTTCGCTTTCAGGGTTAGGAAATGTCAAACCTCCAATGCAAAGTCCTCGGCTTGGTTCACGGCAAGACCTGAAGGTACATACCTTTGGTGTCGGGCAACCGTGGGGCTGGGACACACAACCCTAGGACCCATAGTGCCAGAAGGGATCCCCAGGTACCCTAGTTAAAGCCTCCGCAGGGAGCGGATACAGTCTAGCCAGACCTTGCTACATCCGACCTTTCCGTCTGTCCACCAGGGAAGCTGTCTGCTCACTGAGTCTCAGGGATGAGTACAAGTCTCCCCTCCTTCTCATTCTCTCCAGTATCCTCAGGCTCCTTCTTCTATGTCCCTCATAACCTAGCCATGTTGGCTCCCCTGACGCACCCCTCTTCTTTGGGCTCTCCCCAGGGGAATGGCTCCTGAGGGTGCCACCAGAAGCAAGACAGATGTTACCTTGGCTCTCTGGAGCTGAGGGTTTTGAAAACATCTAAACCCTTATTGAGTGGTTTTTCAAGTGAGTGACACTTGTAGTGAGGGCAGAGTCTTGGCTGGAGAAGATTCTGCTCTAGGAAAGGGACTGTTGAGTAGTAGGCGAGGTAGAAGTGGATGGGAAAAGAAGAAAGGACCATTACAGTGGGAAAACAAAAGAGAAAGCTAGGGACCTATAGCTCCAAAAGAGGGAGACTGTGTGGGGCACACAGGGCCAGACACATTCATATAGATGGTGGTAAAGAGGCTGGAATTTTTCCTAAGAGAAATGAGACACTCACAATGTGTGAAATGAGAAGAAACGCTGTTGCCAAAATTCTTCCTTTGCAGAAGATATAAACAAATATCTGTCCCTTCCTTGAAAGGTCGTAAGGACAAACTGTGGTGTGAGTCCACCACAGCTCACTCTCTGGCGTGCCAATCCCTCTATTAGGCTTATTCCAGAGATATGGGGGAAAGAGCACAGGCCTTAGAGCAGCCTCACTTTAGGCTCTGTAGCATGCGTGGCTGTTGAGTCTCCCGCCAAGGGCGTGTAGGGAAGACACCTCTCCCTGCTTTGAATAGTCCAGCCCCTCCTTGCCTTGGGGCTGAATTGCACAGTGCTGGTTGAGTGGCTGGATACTCAGGTGAGGGTTCCACAACCCTCCCGACCCTCTTTGTGTGAGGAAATGTCAACAGTCAACAGGCCC